TAACAATTGAGACAATATTTAACTATTTAGTAATGCTAACTGCTCTCAAATCACATTCATTAATGCATTCTTATTGAATAGTGTTACTGCTAAAGTGGAAAAGATCTACAACACTTTTTAAGTAGTTTCATTTGTCTTGTGAAGTGCTGCAATGCAGTGTCACTTAGACTAAAACAGAATTCAAAATCCAAGAATCGCTGCAATCTGACAACCTGTTAACATCACATTGCACGCATTACACAAATTAGCACAGGCTCACCTTTAACAAATAAATTAGGGAGACAAGAAAACAAGCTGTTTTCACATTTTTGCCATTGTAAGGGATCAGCCTTGGGCTGCATTTATAAGGCCAGCCACCAGAGGGAGCCACCAAACAATAACCAAAGGTGATTTGGGACACCTTTGTCAATGCTTTTTAAGCCAAGCTCACAAGTTCATTGGGATAGATTTAAGAAAGAAACTCTGTATTCCTCTGTACACAACATCATCAGTATTTTTACTGACATCCTTAGCCTGTTGTTTCTAACCAGTGGCTGGCTGGTAAGACATCAGCTTTCCTCCACAAGAGTTGGTGGTTGGAATCAGCTTCAGGTTTCTCTATCTATTGACATCTGTGTTCTTCCTTTATATATTTCTCCAAGTTCTATTTGTAAATCAAAATCACCCCCCCAATGAGTCACTCCCTATTACACCAATCCCCTATGCAAGGCAGCCTCACCTACTTGGAGTGTGTCACCACATTAGAGCCATTTACAATTTAATACAAATTAAATACAAATTTTCACCAATTGCACCTTCTTTCAAAGCACGCCTGATTGCCAGGTCATGCGAAAATATGTGAGAAGGGCCTGTCATGTGAAATAGAGGTAAAATTAATAAGACATTATTTAACCATTTAAGAACTATGAATAGTTTCCACTTTAGCTACCGCAAAAAAAAGGTTTATAACTAAAGATGATTTGAATATATGTACTGATGTTGTACAACTCAACAAGCCTCATTCTCCAATAGCTTCCTAGGATCGTTCTTAAATATGTTCTTTAGAAAGGTCCTAAGAAAAAGTCTACATCAGATTCTTGACGTGTTCTTAAACCGCAGAACTGTTCTCACCTTGGTGCTCTTGAGTGTGTGTAGATTCTGTTCTTACTTAAAAACAAATCTCAAATAAGAAAACATTTGTGAATGTCAGAATCTTTGTGAAAACTGAAAAGTGGGTTTTAAGAAGAAATTTCGGTAACACTTTCTATTACATTTATAAAAATGAATTACACTGGATTACACTTTATAGCCATGTTTATTGTATATTATGAATTGTTAATATAATACATTATAAGTAGTGTTGATAACATGTTATACTGTTAGTGCCAAAGAAGTCAGTCCCAGCTTGGAGAGCATAAAGACAAATACCAAGCTAATGGTGGTGTACATTAACTTTCCCACATTGTGTAAAGCACTGATGGCAGCACTAGTTTAAACTCTGACATTTGAAGCCTGCAATGTGCTTTACTCTGTATGTTTTAGTGTTTCAGTAAATCCTTCAGTAAATACTTCAACTTGAAGCCTCACTCTGAACACTGGAGGAGGCTTTAGTACAGTATGCTTCACTTTACTTAGAGCAGACAAATACCACTTATGAGCTCTTATAATTTGTATGACCAGTACACATTGTATTATGTTAACAATTCATAATGCATAATAAGCATGGCTATAACATGTAATGCATTTTTACAAATATTTATAGCCACGTTTATAATGCCTTATGAATGCATTATAACATGTTATGAATGTGTTTATAGAAGTTTACAAAGGTGACATTCATAGAAAGTGTTACCGAAATTTCTTCTTAAGAATGGTTGGTGAATGAGGCCCATCGTTTTTTCATGAAAGGGTTTGTTGTAAATGTACAGGAAAACAGCATGTATGGCATTTATAAATATGAATACATACATTCACAAGTATATGAACTGCCATTTATAAACATTTGTACCTTTTTTATAACCTGATTAATTACTGGTTTGTTCACAGCTATTAATGGTCAGTCAGTGGTGTATTAAACAAAGTGAAGTAACAAGTCCTATGAATCCTGTATTTAAAATGTATTAAAATGTATTAATAAGGCATTATATGGAATACTCAATGCCTTATAATACAGAGAATAAGCTTATATATTGGCTCATAAGTACATGCGTATATGACGTGCTACATTATCTAATTCAGAAGAACATTGTATACACTAGTATCTAAAAGTACGTATAGTATTTTATAGTATTTATTTTACATTTTTTAAAGTAGTATATTTTATTATTTTTAGTACAGCATAATACCTTACAGTGCATAAGTGTTCTTTACTGGCTTTAGGTAAAGTAGATATTCATTGTACTCAATAACTGTTCACCTGTATGTATCCTTGGGTCTGTGGTGATGCAGAAAATATACCAGATATCAGTGTGTTATAATGCATTACAACATTTGTGTTCAGAATGATCTCATGAACAGATATCATAACATTATGAAACCTGGCAGTTGTCCAGTTATACATTTTTATTTTATAAAGTGTCATGCATGTGACTATAATTAATCATATGCAATTGTGCAAGCTTATGCCAGGCATTATAAGGTATTGTGTATGCCATATAACACTTTATACATGCATCTGTTATGCATTATGAATGCAGGATTCGGTAACGTCCTTAGTACGTGATTAATAAACTCTTAACAGAGTATCTGTAACACATCAACCATGTATCAGTGAAGTAGCAGTAGTACAGCATCTGAATATACTGTGGTAAATATTTTGAAGATGTACTGCTGATACATTATTTACATTAAGTAGATGTATTGTTGATGTGTTACCTGAAGTAGACTTAACATGTTATTTCCATTATGCAAAACCCAACCTTACCCAAAACCTAACACTGGCCCTAATCCCAGCCTTAGCCAAAACCTAATCCTAACCTTAACCTAAACCTTAACCCAAAACCTAATCCTAACCTTAACCTAAACCTTAACCCAAAACCTGATCCTAACTCTCACTGTGGCTTTAATCCTGACCCTAACGCTTAACCTCAACCTAAAACCTAATCCTAACCTTCACCCTGACCCTAATCCTAACCCTAATCCCAACCAAACCTTAATCCAGTGAAGCTTCAGGTACAGGATGGTGTCAGTGTGTCTATATCAGCTTGTTGAGTTTGTTGAGATGGTCTGTATTAAACCTGTTACATGTTCAGTTCCTCTCAGGTTAAACATCTACAGATATGAACTTGGAATCAAAAAATGCGAAAAACATCTTAATTCAGCAGATTATAAACAAATTTTATTTATGCAGTTAATTAGGAGTCTCTTGATAATCTACTGAATGTATTCGCTGCTGCTACATCATTATTGTAATGTTACTGAGAGTCTGTTAAGTGTTTATTTAATCTAAAAAGGGCCACTTAAAATAAAGTGTCACCCAGGATTCATAGGAAGTGTGGTCCCACTTTATAGTGTCTCTAATAACTGTGTAGTTACATGTGAACAACATATGCAGCAATACTGTAACTACTGATGATTTAGTCACTGTTACAGATGGATTACAGAAGTACACCTTATGTTATTAGACGTGTATCAACTTCAGTTTTACCGCATGTAATTACACAAGTGTATATTTATAGTTGTAATAGCTAATTCTTTCTAATGTAATTACACAAGAATAATAAAAAATGTAATTTGTAATCAGACTAAAGAAGCAGTTTTTTTCAGTAGTAAAAGGAAGTATGTGATAACTTAGATTGAGACATTACTTACACTGTATCTGCCAGCTTTCCTAACATTTAGCTAGCATTTATGTGGCTAGTGTTGTGACACTGTAACCAGTTTCAATGTTAAACCATTCTGTAATGTGACAGTACAGCAGACATCCCCTTAACATGTAACTTTTATATAATTAGCGAAATACGTTAATTGTATTACCCCAAAGAAATGTCTATTATCATTGTTATTACACAGTACCTTCATAACTACTACACAGGAGCTGTCCACTTATTTTAAACTGTAACAACACTACAGGAAAGTTCCTGTGTAGTTATTAAGTAGGTACAGTGTAATTACAGAATGGTATTAATCAATATGATGCAATTAGGTTACCTTGTTACAACACAGTTATTCCACAGTAATTATGTAAAACATAACATTACATTTATGCAAAACATACTTCCTTTAACTGCTGGAAACTTCTGACCTGTAGCATATCTAAAAGATACACATAAGGCAAAAGTCAAGTTTATACACATATGTAATTGCATAGGCTGTACTTCTGTAATCCATCTGTAACATTGCATAATCACCAGTAGTTACAGTGTCGTTGCATACATAATTCATGTGTAACTACACAGTTATTAGAGACACAATATAAAGTGGGACCAGAAATGTCAACCAAACTTATTATAAAGTGTTACAAAACAGTGATATTGGCTTAGTTCGACAATAATAAACCATACATGGCCTTTCAAAGACTATAAAATGTTTTACCAGACAGAGCTAGGAAGCAATTAAAAAGACTTGGGAATCACTGGGGAAAATACATACAAATAGAAATGTCCATCAGAATGTATTTATTATTGTAAAAGGCTACAGCACTGGTAGAATGTCAATGCAGTATCATCATGAACATTGGGAAAATATCTTTGTAGCACGCCATTTGCAGCTCCAGGCACAGGATCTTTTCTAAAAATCAAGCTTTTCAGCTCCTCAGTCTTTTTCTGCTGTTTGTCCTTCTGCTCTCTCTGTTCCCTCTCTGCTCTTTTTAAAGACACTCACACTGCCGACAGCATCAGCTAGCTCTCATTAGGGGCAGCATGAGTGTCTGAGCTAAGAGGGGAAGAGAGCTCGTTGCTGTCACCACCCCTGCTCCCCAGCTTGGCCACTGGGATCAAATGTAAGGCATAGTCTAATGGCCTCGCTCTGGAACAGGAGGTAGGGCCCTGAGAGGCAGTGTTTGGGACTTGTGTTCCGCTTTCATGCCTCTCGTGGCTGTTGTCGTTCTCCTGCTCTCTCTCACCGCTAACATCCTCCTCCCGCTGTCCCTCACGGCCTTTGTGTGCGAGACTCGGGCACTGCCTTCCCACCCTCTCTTGCAGCTGTCATTGGTGCCTGTCGGTCGGGTGACTGGTATAGTATTTTAATCTGTAATTTCTTGAATTACATAATTAAGATAAATTACAATCACGACAGCATTTTACTGCATACTCTAAATGTTACTTCTGAGGTCTCAGATGGGCGATGGTAACTTTCACAGAAAACATATTTTTTTTCTTGTTTGTTTTGTTTTCTTGTTTGTTTTTTACTGTGAGGAGACAGTACAAACTTTTGCCCACAGCTGTACTTATGATTGTTTGTAATTCTTTTGTACTTCCTCTAGGGGTCACTGTGGTCCTGCTGATTGCCATCATCACCACTGCAAATTTAAGTAAGTAAAACCTCAAGCCATCAAAGATTGATATGTTTTTTTATACAATGTATACCTTTATTTTAGTTTCTGCAACTACAGGCATTGAAAACCTTAGAAAATTTAACTTCACAAAAATGAATTTAATATCAGATTCTGTAACAATGACCAATACAAAATTGCAGGTAATTACTATTATTATTATTATTATTATTATTATTATTATTGATAATAATAATAATAATAATAATCGTTGTCGTCATCGTCATCATCATCATCATCATCATCATCATCACAAGCATACATATTTATTTTCATTATCAACTCTTGTACAGTTATGAAAGGAATATTTCAGCATTTGCAACCTAAATCCTAAAATAAGTTTTTGGTACTTTGATAGATTTGAATTCTGAAAAACAGAAAACCTGTTGACTCAAAACATTCTTAGAAGTTGGTGGGCCATTGATTCAGTTTACACCTGATTATTAGTTTCCACAACTCTTCTCGTCCCTCAGTTCTTTAGAAATGTTTTCAGGTTGCAAAATGAGCATAAAATTATACTTGACATTAGGCCTTGACCACAACACTCTTTCAATACATTTGAATTTAGCATTTGAGTTTATGCTGACCCATTCTTGCTCATAAAGGACTAGGTCTTTCATAGATATTTCCCTTTATATACAAGTGTGATTACCTCATTACATCTTTTAAAAAGTTTTTTAGTGTGTGTGTGTGTGTTTGTGCATATATATATATATATATATATATATATATATATATATATATACACACACACACTGGGCACGTTTCTGCAAGTTTCTGCACACTTCTGCACATAACTGATGTTAACAGAATCAACAAAACATGTGAATTGACTGGTAGTTTTGAAACTTTTGCATGTGGCTAGTGTGGGTGTGTATATGTGTGTGTTTGTAAAGAAAGTTGTAAAGAAAAGGGCTGTATAGAGCCCCGACATGCAGAAAATACAAAATTTGAAAACATATTTATTAATTTAAATCTGTTTTAATTTAACATTTATACAATGAAGTTTCTGTTGAAACTATGGAATTTTGGGTATCACAACATTAAGGCATCACTTGTTCCTGCAGTAGCTAACACTGGATAAAGTACATTTACAGAATAAATGGACAGATTAACTAATACAGTGTAAACTGAGCTATTCAGGAGCCTCAGTGTCAACACAAAATAAAATAAAAAGCAAACCAAACTGTGTGCTGGAAGGAAGTTGGAAGACTGGGAGGAGATGGAAACACTATGAAAAGTAAAGGTTTAGACAAGCCCTAAGCGAGACACAAACCTCTGATTTCTGTAATGGAGGTCTGGCATAAACTCATCACACCAGCTGACAATCAAAGATAAAGGAAAAAAAAATGGACTTGAAAAGAGGTGTCAGAGAAACCCTGAAAGAAACACCTGAGGGATAGCTCTGGAACAAGCAAGAGACACTAGAGGGAAAGGAGACACAGGAGTAAACCTGAGGGGCTTTACCAAATTACCAGCCTTGCATTGAACAGCACTCTAAAAAGAAACCCAAGACTGAGCACAGAGGTTGGGGTTAGCTTCCCTTAAGTAGGGGAGGAATAAGTGCCGCGGATCGCCTCTAATCATGGCAGACAGGACTTGTGCCTCCCTCTGGTGGTCCCAGGTGACCTAGTGCTACTAATATAGTAACTAAGATTAACTAATATAATACAACCCCAATTCCAAAAAAGTTGGGACTCTGTGTAAAATGCAAATAAATGTGACTAAAAACAGAATGCGATGATTTGCAAGTGTCATAGACCCATATTTTATTCACAATAGAACATAGAACACATCAGATGTTGAAAGTGAGACATTTCTTGAAAAAGATTAACTCATTTAGAACTTGATGGCAGCAACGCATCACAAAAAGGTTTGGACAGGAGAAACAAAAGACTGGAAAAGTAAGTGATACTAATAAAAAAAGCAGCTGAGGGAGCAATTTTCAACTAACTCGCATGACTGGATATAAAAAGAACATTTTAGAGAGGCAGAGTCTCTCAGAAGCAAAGATGGGCAGAGGTTTACTAATCTACAAAAACTGCATCTACAAATGGTGGTACAATTTCAGAAAAATCCTCAACATAAAATTGCAAAGACTTTGGATATCCCACCATTTACAGTACATAATAACATCAAAAGATTCAGAGAATCTGGAGAAATCCCTGTACGCCATGGACAAGGTCGACGGTCAATATTGGATGCTCATGATCTTCAGGCCCTCAGGTGGCACTGCACTGAAAACAGGCATGATTCTGTACTGGAAATCACTGCATGGGCTTAGCAACACTTCCTCCATCTGTGAACACAGTTCCCTGTGCAATCCAAAAATGGAAGATAAAGCTGTATCATGCAAGAAGAAGCCATATGTCAAACTGATCCAGACTGCCATCTTCTCTGCCGTCAAACACTGCCGTCTTCTCTGGGCCAAAGCTCATTTAAAATGGATGGAGGCAAAATGGAAAACTGTTCTGTGGTCAGATGCATTAGTGCCTATGGCATGGGCAGCTTACACATCTGAAACGGCACTATCAATGCTAAACAGAATGTAGAGATTTTAGAAGTCAAGAGCCAAGTTAAGTCACGTAGCTTTAATTGTCGTTCTATCTATGTACAAGTACACAGTGAAGTGAAATTACATTCCTCCAGGAACAAGGTGTCACATGGAACAAAACAGACAGTACAAAGTGCAAACAACATATGCTCTCATCCAGACAACATCTCATTCAGGAAAGGCCATTATTTCAGCAAGACAATGTTAAACCACATACTGCATCCATCACAACAGCATGGCTTCGCAGAAGAAGAGTCCAAGTGCTGGACTGGTCTGCCTGCAATCCAGACCTTTCCCCAATAGAAAACATTTTGTGCATCATGAAAGGAAAAATTCAGCAAAGAAGACCCAGGATTGTTGAGCAGCTAGAATCCTACATCAGGCAAGAATGGGACAACATTCCTCTAACAAAACTCAAGAAATTGGTCTCCACACTTCCAAGATGTTTACACACTGTTGTTAAAAGAAAAGGGTATGCTACACAATGGTAGACACGGCCCTGTCCCAACTTTTTAAGATGCGTTGCTGTCATCAAGCTCTGAATGAGTTAATGTTTTTCATGAAATGGTAAAATGTCTCACTTTTCAACATCTGATATGCGTTCTATGTTCTATTTTGAATAAAATATGGGTCTATGAGATTTGTAAATCAATTGTCGCAAAAACAATCTGTTTTTATTTAATTTATTTACATTTTACACAGCATCCCAACTTTTTTGGAATTGGGGTTTATATTAAGTAATATAATAATTTGATATATAGTGATATATTGATATATAACAAAAAGTTTAACAAAGAGTAGTTTTTTGACATGTATGTATGTTTAAAATATTTCGGCATATATGCATGATATATGGATCATACATATATGTCTGCTAAGGGGGTGATCACATAAACATAATGTATCTTGGAATCTTCAATTTATGTCCTTTAGTGCCATTGTGTGGTAGTTTGCTTTAAAATAGGTTAACTGCAAGTGTTTTCTCAATGGTCAATTCAGATCATGTGACTCTTAGGATAGAGGCTAACCAGGAAAGCCAGGAGTATTTTCTTCTTGTTTGTGCCTTGGAGAGCCTTTGGTTAAAAAAAAATAAAAAAAAAAATAAAAAAAAAACAAAGAAGAGAAAAGAGAACTCAGTAAAGCACCTCAATTCTATTTCTGCTTTTGGCTTTCTCTGGATTCTATTTGTTAGCTGTCTGTCGTTGTGCATAGAGAGAATGCACATTAGGGACAGAATAGTAAAAATCATCCTCACAGTGGGCACAAATCAAGGTTTCACGCCTTCCTTCGGCTCTGAGGTCTCCTTGGACACTTCCCAGAATCCTCTAGGGGATCACGTGACTCACGTGACTCCTGACCCTTCCTCATGCTCCAATCAGCGCTCTCAGTCTCCAGAATACTTATGTGTTTCACCTGTTGTCATTAGTTAGTGTTAGTATAAAGCCCAGGTATTTAGACTTAGTTGTTGCGGGGTATTGCTTCTTTCTACAGAGGTACTGAGCATTTTTTTCCTTCCATTGTTTGTATTCCTGGTTCTGACTCATTCTTCCTGTTTTTCGACATTGCCTTCTTGCCTGATCCCTTTTGGACTGTTTGCCTGGTTATGTTTGTGCTTTTATTCCTGTCCTTTTTGAATGTGACCCTTGCCTGTTTTCTGAAAAGGCCTGTTTTCCCAAACCAGAGCATCTAATGCTCTATTTCCAGTCAGTAAACTGGACAAATTTGATGGTAACCCCAATAAATGTCGAGGCTTTTTGCTACAATGCTCTATCTTTTTTTTATTTTTCACCTGTAAGCTCACATCAAGCTAAGATCTTGTTCCTGGTCTCTTGTTTATCAGATAGAGCCTTAGAATGGGCCACAGCCATATTCACAATATGTCTTATGCTCAATTTTTTGAAGGAATTCAGAACTGTTTTTGATCATCTTTATGAAGGAAAGATAAACGGAAAATTACTAACCAAATTACGTCAGGGTAACCACTCAGTAGTAGACTATGCTTTGGAATTCTGCACACCTGCTGCTAGCAGTGGATGGAATGAGGTGGCTCTCCTTGTCATGTTTCACCAGGGACTAAACTCAGATATTCTAACTGAACTGGCTTGTAAGGACAATGATCCAATGTTGAATCATTTTGTAACCCTATCCATTCACCTAGATCAGTTGATTAACAGGCGTAGAAAACATAAGGCTGATCGCAGAGAATGATAGGGGTTAGTACCCCATCTGTTCCTAACCTTACAGATAACCCAACTCTTCCCAAGCCCCAAGTTTATCCCCTCACTCAAGAAGAGGAACGATCTATGGACACCTATATCCAAGAAGCCCTTGATCAGGGATCCATTAGGTCTTCCACTTCTCCTACTGCCTCTGCATTCTTTATTTGTTAAGAAAAAGGATAGAGTTCTCCACCCATGTATTGACTATAAGGGTTTAAACCAGATCACAAAAACTTACCCATATCCTCTTCCCCTTGTCCCTGTAGCTTTGGAACAATTGAAAGGTGCCAAGTACTTCACTAAATTAGATTTGAAAAGCACCTACAACCTGATCAGAATCAAGGAAGAAGATGAGTGTAAGACCACATTTTGACCACGAGGGGTTCACTATGAATATTTAGTCATGCCTTTCGGACTCTGTAACGCCCCTTCAGTCTTTCAAGCTTTCGTTAATGACATGCTCAGAAGCATGCTGGGCAAATACACCATTGCATACATTGACGACATTCTGATGTATTTCCCTGACTTAGAATCCCATGTTCAACATGTCTGTATTGTCCTAAAAAGGCTCCTCAAAAATAACTGGTTTGTCAAAGGAGAGAAATGCGAATTTCACTTTCAATCGGTTTTGTTTTTGGGTTATGTTATCAGTTCCAGCGGGGGTTATCATCATTTCATTTGAGTGTTTAGCAGTATTCCCGCTCCCCTTACTACACTAGTCAAAGGAAACCCGAAAAAAAAACTTAGTTGGACCACAAAGGCTGAGAATGCTTTTAGAGACCTTAAAGAAGCATTCACTACAGCGCCAATATTAAAGCACCCTGACCAACTATAGCCCTTTGTTGTAGAAGTAGATGCTTCTGAGACTGGGATAGAAGCAGGTCTCTCCCAACATTCTGGCAATCCTCCAAAATTGCACCTTCTACTCCAACAAACTGACACCTACCAAAAGGACTTATGGTATAGGAGATCGTAAGCTACTGGCTGTTAAACTCACACTAGAAGAATGGCAACACTGGCTGGAGGGAGCTAATCACCCATTTACCGTATTAACTGATCATAAGAACCTTGAATATTTACGCCTCTTGTCGAGGTTCAAGTTTAGTATTACATATTGTCCTATTTCTAAAAACACAAAAGCAGATGCCCTGTCCCTGAAAGGGCCTATTCTGCTATTACTGCGGGTCATCTTAGGGAGACACTGACACAACAACTACGTGCACACAGTGTAAAATTCCCAAGACCTTACCTGCTGGAAAACTTGTCCCCTTACCAATTCCCGTCTGACCATGGTCACATTTAGCTGTGGGTTTTGTCACTGACTTACCTACCTTACAGGGATTCACTACCATCCTTACCATCATCAGTAGTGTCAGATTTATTCCAGTCCCTTCAATTCCCACAGCTTTCCAGATAGTGAAAGCCTTGTTTAATCAGGTTTTTCATTCCAGTGGACATTCTATCAGACAGGGTCCCCAATTTACCTCCCAAGTCTGGTCTGCATTCTTCGAACATGTAGGAGTCTCCATAAGTCTGACATCCGGATATCGCCCTCAGTCTAATGGACAATGCAAACGCATGAATCAAGAATTAGGAAAATTTCTCCAAATGTTCTATCATAACAACCCGACTGACGGTCTAGATTTCTCCTCTGGGCAGAAATAGCACAAAACTCACTTACCCCTTTTCAAAGTGTTCTCGGTTATCAGCCTTCAATAGCACCATGGACAAGTGTGAGCATGGATGCACCAGCGGTTGATGATTGGATGCTGCGGAGTGAGAGGGTCTGAGAGGAGACACATCAGAGGATAGAGGCCCATTTATTGGTGGGAGGTACTGTCATGCCTTCCTTTGGCTCTGAGGTCTCCTTGGTCTCCATTCCCAGAATGTGGGATCACATGACTAACGTGACTCCTGACCCTGCCTCACACCTTCAATCAGCACTCTCAGTCTCCAGAATTCTGAAGTTTCACTTGTTGTCATTTATTTAGTGTTAGGAGAAAGCCCAGGCTTTTAGACTTAGTTGTTGTGAGGTATTGCTTCTTTCTACAGAGCTACTGAGTGTTTGTCTTTCCATTGTTTGTATTCCTGGTTCTGACTTATTCTTCCTGTTTTTCGACATTGCCCTCCTGCTTGACCCCTTTTGGACTGTTTGCTTGGTTATGTTTGTGTTTTTGTATCTCCTGTCTTTTTTGGATGTGACCCATGCCTGTTTTCTAATGATGATTTTGGATTGCGATTTCAACAGTAAAGCCTCTCATTCTCTTTTTACCCACAAGTGTCCAAGTTATTCTGTCGCGTTACACAAGGAAAGCAAGCTTGAGCAAGCTCATTTATTCATTCGTCATCATGCTTCATTCGCTGAGACAATGTATTTGCAATACATGATGGCAGAGAAAACACTTAAGGGTGCAGAGGTGATAGAGCAAAGCCAAGCATTAAAAACGAGATTCATAGCTTCCATTACAAGAAGCGGATCAAAAAGCTGCTCATCTATCATAGCTGCAGCCAAGGTTCATGCTAAACTGGAGTCTGCCTAAGCTGGTGCTGTATATCTCAAGAAGGAATATGAAGTCATGACTGAAAAAGGCTCAATTGAAAGTGACAGAGGTACAGATGGAAGTGACTCTAGCATCTAGTCATTGTTCATAAACAACATAGAAGTTTACATCTATTAGCTAGCAAGCAGCTAGACTTCCCGTCAAAATGGTTGCAAGAACAGTCTGCACATCATATAAGGAGGATTCAAGCCATGCACATAGGCACATAGGTTCACAAGGTACAGGAATGACAGAATGTATCCAATAACACACTCTATCTCCAGATACTTGACGTGGTTTGGGTCAAAATATGAGGCATTTGTTCTTATTGCACTCATGTACTTGAGAGTGGAAGCCCTTCCTTTTTTATTCTATGTCCTAATCAATTCCAAATTAAGGAGAAGTTAGGCAACAAACTACCCCCTGAAGTTTCTTTAAACTGTGACGACCTTTGCACCACTTTTGAATGGTCACAAAGTGATGACAACATTGGACTATCTATCAAAGATAGACTCTTTCTAGACATCATGGACAGATAGATGTTTATGGATGATAGTAAAAGTTGGGTGGCACCACTCCCACTCAAGATGCCATGCCAGGGGTTCCCTAGTAATAGAGACCCGGCCTTAATATGCTTAACCTCTCTTCTATGCCCATTGGAGAAGAAGCCAGAGATGAAGACTCAATTTTTCATCTTCATGGAGAACATCTTTGATTGCAATCATGCTGAGGTAGCCCCTCCTCTACTAGAAGGCCAGTAGTGTTGGTACTTAGCTATTTTTCAGGTGTCCAATCCATCAGAAGCCAGGTCAGATCAGAGTCATCTTCAACTCCAGAGCACAAAAACAAGGCATCTCTCTGAATGATGTTCTTTCAACTGGACCAGACTTGAGCAAGAGTACCTGGGGTTCTACTACATTTTCAGTGGGAACTAGTAGTTGTCACTATGGACATCAAGCAAATGTTCCACAGTTTCATTGTAAGAGCAGACAACAGAGATTTTCTTCATTTTCTCTGGTTCAGGAACAATGACACCAGCAAGGAGATCACCGAACACCGTATGGGGCGTACACATGTTCGGGATCAGTCCATATTTATGGAATGGCTATTTATGGACACACAGCTGCTCATGGTGAAAGAGAGTATGGTTTGGATACCATGTATTTTGTGGAAAGAGTTTTTGATGACAGACTTCTGTCAGTGCCCACAGCTGCTATTGATGTGTTAGCGTGAATGCAGATGTTAGCCAACTCGAATATGAGGCTTTAAAAGTTCTATCAGCAAAGAAGTAATGGAAGCATTCCCCACAGAAGGCTGTGTGAAAGGACTCAAGGATCTTAACATGGAAGAATTCACCTTCCATGTGGCTGACACTAGGAAGTCCTTTGCACACTGAGGGATGCTTGTCTCTTTGACCCACTCGGGTTGACCACACCTGTCACCATCCAAGGAAAGTTCCTGTCATGAAAATTGTCAAGTGGGGCTCTAGATTGGGATTCTCCCCTTCCTGATGATAAGAAAGAAGAATTGAACACTTGGAGAAAATCGCTGCACAAGCTTGAGGACTTAAAGATTCGCAGACCATATTTGTCACCACTCTTTCTACAACTCTAAGGAAGGAACTTCATGTCTTCTCAAAAGCTTCTGTCAAAGCAATTGCAGCAGTAGCATACATTTGTGTTATTGCATGTCACACTGGATTTGTCCTTAATAAGGCAGTGCCAGTTCCACAAGTTGCTCATTTCATTCCCAGACTGGAACTGGGAGCTATAGTTCTAGCTGCAGAGATGGTCACAAGTGAACTAGATGTTACCCAAGATACCACAGAATTCTACATGGACTGCTAAGTTGTATATCTATAACCAGACAAGACATTAGTGTACATTAGCAATAGAACGCAGCATTTTCAAAAGGTATCTAGCAGAATGTAATGGCATTATGTCTCTACAAGGCACAATTCCATAGACAACGCCACCTGCTCTGTACCAGCAGCCCTGTTGTGCACCACCACATGGCTTACTGGAACATGTTTCTTGTCACAAGCTGAAGAAGAACCATCTCTAAAAGAGGAGATATTTGACTTTATTGATCCAGACACAGACAAGGAAGTTTGTTCTCTCATCACTACTCTATCTACCAAGAATTCTCATCTTGGATCTCAATGCTTTGAATGATTCTCTTCATGGAGATCATTACTGCGAGCCATCACTTCTCTCATACACATTTTCCAGTTATACAAGGCAACGGAGGATCAAGACAGAACCTGCAGATTGTGGCACCACTGCACAGTAGAGGAACTGTCACAAGCAGAAGCAGTCATAATCAAGACTGTGCAGCGGGAAGCATACAAAGAGGTGCTTGCCCGCATTACCAATGAAAAAGACATGTCAAGGGACAGTGCTCTGAGAAAATTAAACTCTTATTGGGATGATAAAGCCTTCTCAGGATAGGAAGTTGACTTAAACTCATCATCATGCACTTCGAAGAGAAGTGTCCCATGATCGTTCCAGGGTGCAATCATGCAGCAAAATTTCTTGTGGAACACTACCACAATTGAGTCAAACATCAGGGTCGTGTATTCATGGAAGTTGAACAGAAAATGGCGGACTGAACTGCCTGAGCACCAAGCCACCATTCATGTTCATTGAACTGGATGTGTTTGGTATCTTGGATGGTGGTCACAAGACATACGCGAGGAGGACAAGATGTAAAGAAGAGATGGGTTGTTCACTTGCTTGAGCACTCGTGCTATACACATTGACTTGATTGTATGGATTCACCCACCTTTATAAACACCTGGAGAAGTTTCTTCACTC